CTACTTTATTCTGTGATTAATTAATTAATCCCTTCATAAATCCTTACCAATCATGTACGAATAAAGTAATTGATAAATTCTGATAAAACTGCAGTCATGGTTCATTATAAAACTTTGCGTTCAGTTGATTTTATTCGACTGTAAAGGACGTTGGGGTCAATTTCAAAGGTAACACCATTAGTTACGGGTATTGCCACCGTTTGCGAAGTAAACAGCATTGCAGCGTCGTCGCATGGAACTCGAAAAACGGCGGATAATTCGAGGAGAGATGTTGTTCCATTCAGCGATCAAGGCTTGGGCCAGCTCCTGCAAGTTTGACGGCTGATTTTGACATTCTCTCACGCGTCGCCCAAGAAAGTCCCAGACATGCTCAATCGGTGACAAATCAGGTGATTTAGATGGCCAATCTAACACCTGTACGTTATTCTGCTGCAAGAAAGTTCTGCTGACGTGACTGGTGTGCGCTGGTGCGTTATCCTGTTGAAAAATGGCGCCAACGCCATGGCGTCTTAAGAATGGCAGAACCACTGGTCTTAAAATTTCGTCCCGATATCGAATGCCGGTTAAATTGCTATTTAACACAACAAGCCTGGTACGAGTCCCCCCACAAATACCACCCCAAACCATTACACTTCCGACGCCAAAGCGGTCCCGTTCTGCGACGCATCAGTTCGCAAAACGCTCCCCTCGTCGCCTCCACACTCTGCGCCTTCCGTCACCGTGTTGCAGACAAAACCTGGACTCATCTGAAAACAGAACATTGTTCCATTGTCGTAAGGCCCAACGACGGTGAACACGGGTCTAGTTTCGCCGATTATTACGGTGACGTCGCGTCGCAACAAATTGGGTCCAGTGTTGGGACGCCGCGCTTTCAATTAGTAGGCCCTCAACCTGTTGCGGACTGTTTGGGGCGACACACGACGCCCAAACAATGTCCTTGTAGTCTCTACTGCGGTAACGAATCGATTGCGCAAGTGTATCAATCGTATACGACTGTCATCCCTGGCGGTCGTTTTACGGGGTCGGCCGCTTCGGGGACAAACGGATGTTGACCCAGTTTGGTTTAAACGACTTACCAACTGGCAAACTGTCTTAACACTGCAACCAAAATGCCGTGCAACTCGACGGCGAGACTCCCCAGCCTGGATCATGCCTACAGCCCCTTCTCTCTGTACTTGTGACAGGCGGGGCATAATGATAAAGTTGATAGATAGCAAGATTCGGTGATTTCTAAATCCTAAGGATCTAAGGAACAGTTGTCAGTTTGAATGTTTAGGAAATTCAAGCGAAGATACAAGTTATTCGCAGAAAACCTCGTGCAGCTCTTCGGTAATACAGACTTTCACGCTTGAATGATTTTGGTAACTGTCGTGTCTTGACCCAAAACGGTTTTTCACAGAACATATCACACATCATGGCGGTACAAACTACTTTTTTAATGATTGCGCTGGGCGGGACTATTTTCAGGAGCCGGACAAGGAAATTCCGGATTCACATGCATGATATAGTAAAATACATCACATCTCTCCCTTACCAATTTTGAAGTGATTTAACCATGTCCATCAAAATCAGTTCTTGCAAAATAAACTAATTAAATTCACCGATATTTTTAGTTTAGATATATGCCAAATTATGGTACAGGTACTTTTGAATTGAAAACTGCGTTTTGTATGAACTTTAACATAATAACAAAACTAGTGTAACATATATAATTCACTAACAGTAGTAGCACCTTGAATACTTAAAAGTTGACTGACAAAGCATCTGCCTGATACTTAATTACAAATAAAACAACTAAGGAACCTAAGTGGTTCCTGTGATACACACGGAGATTATTGTGCCCCTTGCCACGGTGTGCTCACCATTATAACTCAAGATGTCTTAAAAGTCTGCTACTGAACACAGAACCTTAGATCCTAACAAAATCTTGAAGTCTCTTTGGAGGAACGATGTTGCGACGCGGATAACGACGCTCAGGTGATGACACCTTTCCTGACTCAGTGACTTTTGGAGATGATGCACAGACTTCAGTCGATGACTCTTGATGTATAGTCGACGGTACTGAAGACGCATGGCTGCCGACGACTCCTGACGCGTCACTTACAGGTTTTTCCATGACAATTATTGAAGGTTTCGGCTGAATGTCACCCTTCATTGGTAAGTTAACTTCCAATGTATTCTCGTCTACTTCGGTGGAACGAATCTGGTCCAAGTGTCTGCGCCAGAGAACACCAGGAGCAATTTCAACACGATAAGAAACGGGTCCAGTCTTTTCCGCGATTTCACCATACACCCATTTTTGTGTCTCTATAATCACGGACAGCTACCTTTTCTCCCATGGAGAATGACCTGCAGAGAACTCGTCGTTTCGACTCTTGTTTCCATTGTTGTTCATTAACGCGTCGTTGGACATCAGGTTTGATCAAATCCAGCCGTGACGGTAAGTTGCGTCCCATGAAGAGTTTTGCCGGGCTCTCATTTGTAGTCATATGTTTGCTGTTCCTATATGCCAATAGGAAGTTAGCCAAGCGTTTCTGGATCGACCCAGAGTCTTTCTTACTTGCTTTCATTGCGCTTTTGAAAGATTGGACAAAGCGCTCCGCCAGACCGTTCGTACTCGGATGGTACGGGGCGGATGTTGTGTGTTTAATCCCGTTAGACTTCATAAAATTGGCAAAATGTTCAGATTTGAACTGTGGGCCGTTATCACTCACAACCTGAGCTGGAACTCCATTCCTGCAGAATATTTCTCTCAGAACCTCTACAGTTCGCTCTGCTGTTGTCGAAGTCATAGCAACCACTTCCGGCCACTTTGAATGAGCATCTACAGCTACGAAAAACATCCTGTCGAGAAATGGTCCCGCAAAGTCGATGTGAATGCGTTGCCACGGAATGAATGGTCATTCCCAAGGATGGATAGGTGCGGCTGGCGGTGAATTCTTAATGTCTTGGCATCCTACACAAGACTTACAAACATGCTCGATGTCAGCATCGATGCCAGGCCACCAAACGTAGCTTCTGGCGAGGCTCTTCATCTTAACCACGCCCAAATGTCCTTCATGTAGTTCGTCTAACACTCTCCTTTTAGGCGACTCGGGGATAATAACATGTATTCCCCAGAACAAACAATGCTGATGAATGCTTATTTCAGTACGTTTATTGTAGAAAACACCGAGGCATTTGTCTTCACCCTCGGTCTACCCTTGTTGTACGGTGGTGTACACCCTTGATAAGGTTTGGTCCTTCAACGTTGCATGTGCGATTTCCTTACTGGTCACAGGGAGAGTGTTCATGTAAGACACCATAAAGGCATCAACAGTATCTTCTTCCAGTACTGGCCTTATGTCTAGGGGTAGACGCGATAATCCATCGGCGTTTGCATGTTTTGCTGTACTTTTGTACTTGATGTCGTATTGGAAGCCTGCTAAATACAGTGCGTAACGCTGGAGTCTTGCCGCGGTTATCACTGGAATACCTTTCTCTGTGTGAAAGATCGATGTCAGGGGCTGATGATCCTTCAGTAAAATAAATGGCGCCCATATAAATATTGGTAAAATTTCTTCACACCCCAGACAATTGCAAGGGCTTCCTTGTCAATCTGCGCATAGTTGCATTCAGATTTTGAGAGCGAGCGTGACGCGAAGCTATCGGCCTCTCGGATCCGTCTTCCATAACATGCGATAATACCGCGCCTATGCCGTATGGAGATGCGTCTGTTGCCAATTGCACTTTCTTGTCTGGATCAAAATGAGTCAGTACTTGTTCCGATGCCACAGCTTCCTTTACGCGCTGAAATGCAGTATCGCACTCTGCCGACCACTCCCACTTCCGGTTTGCCTCCAGAAGCTGGTTCAATGGGTTTACCATTGATGACAAGTTTTTAATGAACTTAGCATAGTAATTCACTAGTCCCAGAAATGATCTGAGTTGGTTGACGTTTTCTGGGCGCGGAGCATTAACAACAGCTTCCACCTTGCTTGGCATCTTGTGTAGTCCATCTTTGTAAATGGTGTGCCCACAAAATTCGATCGAGTCTTTGAAAATCTCACACTTTACCTTGTTAACGCGCAAGCCGAAACGGTCTAAACGCTCAAGTGCTGTTTCTAGATTTGCCAAATGATCTTTATCGGTCGTGCCCGTAACGATCATATCATCCAGGATACACTGCACGCGTGGAATGCCTTGAAGAACTTGGTCAATGGATCTCTGCCAAATAGCTGGCGCCGACGCAATTCCAAATACCAACCGATTGTACTGAAATAACCCACGATGTGTGTTGATTGTCAGGTAATGTCGGTCCTCTTCGCGTACAGCCGTTTGCAGATAAGCATTCCTGAGATCAATCTTCGTGAAATGTTGGCCTCCAGCAAGTGTCGCGAAAATGTCGTCAATCTTGGGCAGTGGGTACTGGTCTACATTCATTCGTTACAATTCTGGCGTTACCTATACATACTGATGTTTACATGTGTAGTTTTCTCTCTCAGAAAATCGATACGATTTTTTTCTCGTAACACTTCAAAAGCTCCTCGATGAAATTTAACGATTATTCTACAAACCACTGGATGCACCCAGTATAGGGGTTTAGTAGGAGGTTACATAATATATGGAGTGTCACGTGCACCTAGTTCGGAGTAGGAGGATACATGGAGTGACACCCAGTAGTTTAGTTTAAACATATCTTATTCAACAAAGTTGTAAATGGATTGGGCACAAGTTATTTCAACTTATAAAACACCTTCTCCAAAATACAAACAAATAAATACATTGTATATAATACGTATTTCAAATCAACAACAAATGACTATTTCTAGAAATAGGGTGGGGAAGTGAGGGAGAGGGAGAGAGAGAAGGAAAGGGATGGGGAAGTAAGGGAGAGGGAGAGAGAGAAGGAAAGGGATGGGGAAGTAAGGGAGAGGGAGAGAGAGAAGGAAAAGGATGGGGAAGTAAGGGAGAGGGAGAGAGAGAAGGAAAGGGATGGGGAAGAAAGGGAGAGAGAGAAGGAAAGGGAGGGGGAAGTAAGGGAGAGGGAGAAGGAAAGGGATGGGGAAAGGGAGAGGGAGAGAGAGAGAGAAGGAAAGGGATGGGGAAGTGAGGGAGAGAGAGAGAAGGAAAGGGATGGGGAAGTAAGGGAGAGGGAGAGAGAGGAAAGGGAAAGGGAGAGGAGAGAGAGAAAGGGATGGGGAAGTAAGGGAGAGGAGAGGGAGAGAGAGAGAGGAGAAGGGATGGGGAAGTAAGGGAGAGAGAGAGAGAGAGAAAGGGATGGGGAAGAGAGAGAGAGAGAGAGAGAAGAAGAGAGAAGAGAGAGAGAGAGAGAGAGAAGGAAAGGGATGGGAAGTAAGGGAGAGGAGAGAGAGAGAGAGAAAGGGATGGGGAAGTAAGGGAGAGGGAGAGAGAGAGAAGGAAAGGGATGGGGAAGTAGGGAGAGGGAGAGAGGGAGAGGAAGGAAAGGGAGAAGAGAGAGGGAGAGAGAGAGAAAGAAAGGGATGGGGAAGTAAGGGAGAGAGAGAAGGAAAGGGATGGGGAAGTAAGGGAGAGGAAGGGAGAGAAGGAAAGGGATGGGGAAGTAAGGGAGAGGGAGAGAGAGAGAAGGAAAGGGATGGGGAAGTAAGGGAGAGGGAGAGAGAGAGAAGGAAAGGGATGGGGAAGTAAGGGAGAGGGAGGGAGAGAGAAGGAAAGGGATGGGGAAGTAAGGGAGAGGAGAGAGAGAGAGAAAGGGATGGGGAAGGGAGAGAGAGAGAGAGAGAAGGGATGGGGAAGAGAGAGAGAGAGGGAAGAGAGGAGAGGGAGAGAGAGAGAGAAAGTGAGGAGAGAGAGAGGAAGAGGGAGAGAGAGAGAAGAAGGGAGAGGGAGAGAGAGAGAGAGGAAAGGGATGGGGAAGTAAGGAGAGAGAGAGAGAGAGAGAGAGAGAAAGGGATGGGGAAGTAAGGGAGAGAGAGAGAGAGAGAGAAGAGAGAAGGGATGGGGAGAGAGAGAGGGAGAAGTAAGGGAGAGAGAGAGAGAGAAGGAAAGGGATGGGGAAGTAAGGGAGAGGGAGAGAGAGAGAAGGAAAGGGATGGAGAAGTACGGGAGAGGGAGAGAGAGAGAAAGAAAGGGATGGGGAAGTAAGGGAAAGGGAGAAGGAAAGGGATGGGGAAGTAAGGGAGAGGGAGAGAGAAGGGAGAGAGAGAAGGGATGGAAGAGGAGAGAGAGGAAAGGGATGGGGAAGGGAGAGGAGAGAGAGAGAGAGAGAAGAGAGAAGGAAAGGGATGGGGAAGTATGAGAGAGGGAGAAGAAAGGGAGAGGGAAGTAAGGAGAAAGGGAGAGAGAGAAGGAAAGAGAGAAGATGGGGAAGTAAGGGAGAGAGAGAGAGGAGAGAGAGAGAAGGAAAGGAGAAGATGGGGAAGTAAGGGAGAGAGAGAGAGAGGAGGGAGAGAGAGAGAGAAGGAAAGGGATGGGGAAGTAAGGGAGAGGGAGAAGGAAAGGGATGGGGAAGTAAGGGAGAGGGAGAGAGAGAAGGAAAGGGATGGGGAAGTAAGGGAGAGGGAGAGAGAGAAGGAAAGGGATGGGGAAGTAAGGGAGAGGGAGAGAGAGAAGGAAAGGGATGGGGAAGTAAGGGAGAAGGAGAGAGAGAAAGAAAGGGATGGTGAAGTAAGGGAGAGGGGGGAAGTAAGGGAGAGGGAGAGAGAGAAGGAAAGGGATGGGGAAGTACGGGAGAGGGAGAGAGAGAAGGAAAGGGATGGGGAAGTAAGAGAGAGAGAGAAGGAAAGGGATGGGGAGAGGAAAGGGAAGGGAGAGGGAGAGAAGGAAAGGAGAGAGAAGGAGAGAGGGATGGGGAAGTAAGGGAGAGGGAGGAGAGAGGAAAAGGAAGGAAAGGAGAGAGAGGAAAGGGATGAAGTAAGAGGAGAGAGAAGAAAGGGAGAGAGAGAGGAAGAGAGGATGGGATGGGGAAGTAAGGGAGAGGGAGGGAGAGAGAAGGAAAGGGATGTGGAAGTAAGGGAGAGGGAGGGAGAGAAGGAAAGGGATGGGGAAGAAAGGGAGAGAGAGAGAGAAGAAAAGGGATAGGGAAGAAGAGAGAGAGCGGAAGAGAGAGATAAATCAGTTACATCGGATTTAAATATTGAAAATGACATGAAAAGTTATACTCAAAACCTGCAACTAGACTTTAAAAAATGCTGAACACATAAGAAAAGTTCACAATTTGTATCATGCGACAATTCTTGGTTACGAAATAAAAGCAAATCTAAATCACGAGGAACCTGCAAATCTAAGTCGTTCAGATTCTGAAAGAGAATATTTCTTTGATTACTAGGTTTAAGTGAACTTTTCAAAATACTTAAAGAAACCGATGATCTTACAGAGTTTTCAAGAGAATTTCAAGACAGGAGTAATAAGTGCATTTGCCATTTTGTTAATAAACACAGGGTTTTGAATTGAAGCTAAGAAGTTTTCTGTTACTGCGAGAAGGGCCGTATTTTCAAGTGAGTTTTCCATAAGCTTTTCAAAATGGGTCTCTGAGTCCATAGTAACCTAGTCTACGCCGACATGGCTGACTGGATATTCTTCATATTTTCGCATGATCTGACCACAACGGCGGCTCCTTACAAACTGACGCAAGTGACCAAACAAAGACAAACGACTAACCGTCAAACCCAAACGAGACAACATTGACCATTACCATATACATGTATGGCACATTACGAAACGACTGTACACCACATTTACATAATACACACGACGTAAGACGTACGTATACAGACAAACAAATGGACGTTTACATGTCCACGCGCAAAATAACACGTACCAATTGACGCAACAGTTCTTAAATAATTAACATATTTTATTAAAATCAATAATTAACTAACTTTATTAAAATGACTTATTTTACACATTGTTACATTCTCCCCTTGCTTGAAATATGACGTCCTCGTGTTCAGTATCAAATACATAACTACAATAATCCCTATACTATAATTGTGTATGACTTTATCGGTTTTTAGATCGTTACACTTCGCATTTTCATTGTGATATACACACTGGTAATATCTGTGTATGGGAATTGAAATCACAGCCTTGTCTGTTCCTGTTTGTACCGTTCTGGGTTGAGCTGTAATTATAGTACCTATTTTTCGAGTATCGACTTCCGGTATAAAGGAAATGATGTGGAATCTGGTAAGATGCGTTTATGATGAAAGATGTACATGACATTTTGTCTCTTTATTGTCGCTTGCATCAGCACGGATGATCATAATTTAAATCTTAAACAGTGTGTAATGTCAGCTATCCGGTTTGCTATGAAATGAGTTTTGCTTCCTGCTTAATTTCACTACTCGACCAATCAGCTGTCGGTGCTCGAACACAAAACATATATTTTTTCTGCTTTAATCGGAATACCGGTCATTTGTTTAGAAGGGGGCATGTTGTCACCGTACCAGGTCGTTTCAGTACTTTTTAAAATGTTTTAAAATTATGCATTTAATTCTGTTTTTAAAGTGCTTCGTCATCGATAAATATTGCTCATTTCGTTACTGAAAAAGTGCTCACTCAAAATGCCACCCTAGCTATGTAAACCATTTTACAAGTATCAAACCGACTTCTGTAGGTACCGAAAAATGTAGTAAAATTACACCCAGAGTCTGTTATCTTCTCGTATTAGTACCTTGGCGTATTAGTTTCGGACCCCTTAAGAATCACATGTCGGTAGCAATGCTACGACGATGAGTTGCAAACAAATATATAAATTATTGTAATGTGTTCGTACTATGAAATTTGTTCAATAAAGTGATTAGTGAAACACTAGTTTTTTCTACAATTATGACCTCAAATTCACTCGCCTGAAATGACAGATATGTGTATGGGAAATGTGTCAACATTTTCGGATATGTTTCTGTTAAAATCGCTGAATCACAGGGATGCTTGAGTTAGCCTGACAGTGACCCCAGAAGTGCACACATCTTACATAAAATGGTCATTTAAATTGGAAATGACAATACGACGAAAAAAAATGTCAAGAAAATGGTGAATGTGTGTGCCTATGTATGCACCATTTCTACATCGAAAATTTTATCAAATGAACTACATATCTTACTTAACTTTTTTGATCACACCGCAGACTTTTCAAATAACGTTATTTTCTCATGTGCTGGTCTGCAACACTTATCCATTCAAGTCGGAAAGCAGTCATCAAAAGTGATAATTCTAAAAGCATCATTTTTCCAATATAAGATGTGTATATTTGGACTTCTGTTGCTAAAAAATGGAAGGAGGGGTAGGTTTTTATTCCTGGACAGTTTTTATTTACTTGTTAGACAACAACAAAATGCTGGCATCTGAGGATGGACTGATGGCCTAGTTCATGGTATTTGGGAGGATGTTTGAATTGTGAAAATGAGTATTATGGAAAAGGTATCCAAATTTACCAATCAAACGAATGCTTGTAATGAACTGATTTAATCACAGTGTCTGTTTCTTTCGAAAAGTCACATGTTACAGTAACCAAATTCAATAGGGATATAGGTCATACAGGTTAATAGTTCACACAGCATATTCAAACAAAATGATAAGTGAAACATTACTGGTGTAATAATGGATAATGACAGAAGTTGGAACCAATGCTGGAAAATATTAAATATTTATATTTGCTGTTTGGTGTCCTTACATACAGCGATATTTGAACCTCTGCTACACAAAATTCAGAACAGACTAATATGTAGATCAATAATGTTGTAGAAATACACCAAATAAATGACTTCATTTTTTTTGCATAGTGGCCCCTACATTCAAAGCATGCCTTTCTGTGAGGGGAAATGTAGTCTCTTGGTTCGTATTATGTAAACTTTGTCAGGTCAGCTTTTGATAATATACTTGTTCCTTTCAGTTAAATATTTTATTATGATTGTTTCAGAACAAAGTTGAAGTGTGCAAATTTTTCATGAACTGACATTTATTTTGACAGTTGTTGTGAGCAGCATGGTTGGCTGTGTAGTCGTCTGTTTGACTTAAGATAAACACTGCCTTGTTTGAGATAATTAACATACATCATAAGTGAAAAAATGTGTTGTTTTGTGGGATTAAAACCAAAAATAAAATATATAATAACTGACCGAGCGCTGTTCAAGCATTGGTCAGCTTAGTCTATAGAATGTCCGATTTCTGATTTCTGTGTACATGTGTAGTCTTATATCAAGGTGTATAAAGTAGCTTAGATAGGTATTTATCACTAATTGTATCATACAAGATCAACCAGTGGCTGTGATTTAGAAGTAGGAAGATTTCTTAGGTTAGATAATGGACTTTTCCTATCCATAGAATTTAGGATTTAATTCTTAGGATTTAAATGAGATTTTCAGCAAAACATGGCAAAAATACCTAAATCTTGTCCAGAGTGATTCCTGCTTATTTAATGGACATGCTAAGTTTATGGATTATGTCAAATTGGTTAATATTTTATCTAAGAACTTGCATGTAGATATAGTCAGGTGCAGTGTAAAGGAGTTTTAAGTATTTGTTAGAAATTTTATACTTGTCTTTGTCACAGTCAATCGTCAGAATTCCTCCCTAAATAAAAAATCTAAACTTTAGCAACCTCTTTCTGAGCACATTTTTGAAATTACTGTCAATCTTATAGGTTTATAATAACAGATCTTGCAAGATTTTGTGCCCAAAACTGGTTATCAGAAAAAAAGGAGTTGACTTATGAATGACATATAGTCTTATATATGTGCTTCCTCTAACCACAACAAACCAGATTTATTAAACTCAAGATTCCTTCTCTATACATTCTTAATTAGTAAAGTCTATTTATGAAATAGAAATATTTCCTGACTTATCATTCTGTTTTCTTGTATGTTATTTTTAAGACTTTAAAAACTGAAGATAAAACACTTCTTTTTTGTTTGCATTCATGAGGCCTCCCTGGAAATTTTCAGAAGTTGCAACTTTGCTGGATGACAGACTGTACAATATAGAATGATATGATGTGATTTACAATGTATCTAAATGATCTTTTTTTCTTTTAATTTTAGGCTAGTAGCCAGAACATCATGAGACAAGTGAAATCACTCCTGTTGTGATACAGAGAAGTCAGCATAAGCCGTTACAATTATGCACAACTGTTTTCATTTTTTGAAGAAGTAAAACTAAAAATGAAAATGATGAAAAAATTCATACTTATTCCTCTAGTCTTCACTGTGGCAGTTGTGTGTCCACTACTGATATACTTCAAGGCTGACAGATCTCTCAAATCAGGTGAAAATGTGATCAAGCGTGATTCAATGCACGAGAACACAAACATCATTATAGAATCTAACCCAGGAACCATAGCAGAAGAAGATTCAGGAATTTTGTCAGTTGTAAAAATGGCAAAAAGTATGTACACGAAAACCAATGATACAGTATTAGTTACACTGATAAATGATGCTTATATGAGCTTCACTTACAGTTGGCTATGCAACACAAAACATATGGGTATTCACAAACAGGTATTGTTCATTACAACTGACAATGTGTCTCGAGACAAACTCAACAAGGACTGGCCAGAGGTCAGTGCAGTGGCTCTGTCTGGCCTCTCTCTGAGTGGAGACCAAGTGTACAGTCATGCAGGCTATGTTAGACTGATGGTACGCAGGTCAGAGGCCCTTTTAGCCATACTGAATAACAACATTGAAATATTCTTATTTGAAGTAGATTGTCTTTGGATTCGCAATCCAATGCCAAGGTTGAAAAAAACAGCTGAACAATTTGACATTCTTGTTACCCCAGTTTCTGAAAGACCAGGCATAATTGCAGGTGGATTTATTTTCATGCGTCCAACAAATGCAATGAAAGTGACTTGGCAAGCTCTTACTGATAAACTCTATAATCTTGATTCCCGCTTAAAGAAACTGCCACCGAACCAAGTGATTTCTGAAGGTGAAAATGACCAACAGTTCTTGTCTGCATTGATCATGTCAAAGTACAAAGGAATAAAGTACAAGATGCTGGCTCTTGAAGTCTATCCTGATGGAAAATGGTATTCTTATCCAGAATCTAAACGCAACAAGCTGGATCCAGATATCATCAATAATAACTGGGCACTCGGAAACAAGGCGAAGATTGACCGTGCCAAAAAGTGGCATCACTGGTTTGTCAAGGAAGACAACGTTTCTTGTGACATGGACAAAGTAAAAAATGTTGTGAAAAATTAGATGGTATCAAAAAATGAGGAACAATTTTTATAAAGGATATTGTCCTATGAGCAGTATTGTTATAGTGGTTTTAGATAAAATCGGGGACTGTAAAATGTTTACTCAAAAATATTCAGTTGACAGTTTACTAATTAGAATTTATCTGACTAAATTCAGTAAATCAGCCAACATTTTGATACCGTGTAATCACATGGGATCAGGAATGAAATGTACCCACCATTCCTATTCAAAACTGAAATAGACACTACTGTCGAAAGGAATTTAATCAAAATCTATTTATTGTTATTAATTGAGTTATACAAACATATTTCCTGTTAGAATAGATTGTCTCACAGAATAGTCTTCAAAACAAAATTTATTGTTTCAGTTTTTCTGAAGAAAAAATCTTTTTATTGCCAAATTCCAATGTAACCAAGGTATTTTGACTTTATAATTTAGATAGGCCTTTAAAAGGATCAGAATGTATAAAGACTTCGCTGGATGTTGGCTCTGTACATTGCTGCCCAAACGTATCTGAATTCTGTCTCGGATAAACAATGTGCATCCAACACTACATAACATGTTGAAATCACTTCATGAACATTTTCATTGGTTTTATGTCATTAGTTGAACACAAATTACTCTAACCTCCATTATAGAATTTGTTTATTTATTTTGCTGTTAAATTCAAAGCCATATAAAACTGCACATTGATGATGTACACATCACATTTAGTGAATTTGTAGCTTAGCTGTATATATGTGAGTTAGAAATTCATTTGCTTATCAAATTTTATAAAGATTACTATATATTTGACTTTAAAGAGTATAAATGTGAATCTTCAGAATCACTTTGTCAAAAATCGTTTATGATTAGAAGTCAATCACCTAGCTTTTTTAAAGATATTGTTAAAGTACAGCATTATTTAGATACTTGTACAGTACCTGCAGCATAATCATATTGGATCTGAGCTTTTAAGTAAAGAATCTATAGCAAAAGAATTGTATGTCGTTAGCTTATGTGCATTTATTTTTAATCAAGATCTTTTCACTTTTTGTTCTTTTTTTAATGATGTTTTTGATTTTTTATAAATGTTGCTTTTGAAGTTAAGTTTTAGGATGAAATTGAAATGAGAATAAGCATATAAACTTTTTTTCACTTTCATTGAAGCATTAAGACTAGTCAGTATTTTTATTCAGAAATGGCTTTCCAATTTCACCACAACTATTTGTTAGTCTTAAACTGTTTCATGTTTAACATTATGATGTAACCTTTATCTAAGGATATACACACAAAGTATACTCTATATAAGTTTAATAGATTTGTTTGTCATGATTGAATGTTGAAAAATAACGCATTGATTCAGGGTCATTTTCTTAAACTTTAGAAATACACATTTATAAATAGTTGGTCTGTGTACTGATAAGGCTGCTATTTTTCAGGGTTTTTCTTTTTTTGCATGTTCTTGAGGATGGAATGGAAACATAACAGAGAATGATTTAAATATAAGATTAGAAGCCTAAGAAAAATTTCATAAGAAATTTATTCGTTTAGTCTCAGTTTTTTTATACCGTCACAAAAATTTCTACGTATCTAAAATATATCCAATACACTTGTGGTTGTACAGCGATTTTATGCTTTTCCATTTGTTTTAGCTGTGATAACTAGATATTAAGTAAAAATCATTTAGAAACTGTTGCTTATGTAATTGATTACAATTGCCTAACACAATGCCTCTGCCAGACTCTGTACATACATTAAAACTGTAAAAAATATAAAGGCTACTAATATGCTCCCATTGGTCTTTATTTATTCCTTACTGATTGTGTTGAAAGAATTTTGACAACCTGTAAATGTAAATATACTTTTATTTGATATTAATTGATCCGTTTATAATGTTTTCCTTATTATGTACGTGTTAACTGATATTTTTAGCCAAAAAATCAAGCAATTATGTTTTATCTGTGTTTTGTTATCAAGAACAAAGAGCATGTAAGCTTGTGATATTGTGCCATGTATGTCGCCGTTTTGTTATCTTTTAAGATTGTGACATTATAAGTTCATTTTATGATGGAGAAGTTATTGATATTGAAGAACTTGTTAGGTTAAGAAAGCTAGGGACAACAGTATTTGACCAGAAAGTATACCTTACCTTGAAATATATACATGTAAATAGTTATTATGGTGAACAACAATTTAGATATCTGGTAATTGTTTATGATAAATATCAGCATTGAGTAGGGGGCAAGGTTGTCATCAGCACAATGCATAAGTTGGTGAGTATATATATGTATGGATTATGATTACTGAACATAATAAATTGTGTGGTCCATCACAAAAAGGTATACACATGTATATGCTGGCATTGATTAAGACGTGAATGGGAAAAATTGAGTATTTGATCTTCAAGGACATATTCCCTTCCATCAGATGATTGTATTTTAACTGAGGCATTTTTAAAAAAAATGATTTAAAGGAATGATGTTTCTCAGCACAGATAGGTCATGTAAAAAAATCGGAAACATTTTTAAAAAATTATTTCATGATTTCAAAGCACAAATGAAAATCCAGGACCTATCATCATATATATATACAAACACATTTATATTTACACACAACATTCTTTCATTCAACTAGTCAAGTTTGGCATTTAGGGCAACTCGGCTATCACTACACAAAATGTTTCTGTGTAAACTAGTACAGATAATCTTCTGGTCTGGATTTAGTTGTTGGATTATCAGTAGTGAATACTCTATGTGATACCTATGATATACATGCAGCTTGTTACCGTTTACTATTTATATAAAATAAATGTTAATCCCCACGTTCTTTATAGTATACATACATCTATTGAAGCCCGAGAGGGCGAAATTTAAGACCACACACTCCGAGGCTGTTGTGACTGATTTCATTTGATTTACACCCATTATATATCAGTTATCACTACACAGAATGAAATTTTTTTTATTGTATATGGAAACGATGATTGAAAGGTGATGGTGGTATATGATTCAAAACTAAGTCCTAAAACTTGATAGATCAGGCAGAATTTGTTTATAACCGGATAAAGTGCAGTTTATTCAATGACCATGTGGACTACTGCTGCTGAGCACTGTTCATGAAGCTGTGTTTTATTTTAATTATCCAAGCAAATCATAAGAATGACAAATGTCATGCCTGTCTTAAATCATATACATGTATATGTGTAGGCCCTTATCATGTATATCATCTGATGTATAAATCTTGCTTGTTTATATTTGACAACCTTGCATTCACTGTTATGCTTACAATGCTGGAATGTTCAGATGGATGATGTAGAATCTGTGATCTCTTCTGTGAAGTAGCTTTTGTGCAATGAGTCATTATGAAAATTTCATTCCACAATAAGGTTTGTATAAAGTTACACTACTACATGTTTCGTTTTAAATGTGCTTTATATCATGTACCTATTGCCGTATCAGACTGTCAGTTTCATGTCTGTGATAATTAAGTTGTTAATAAAGACATGTACACACACATAAAGGTGAATTTGTTTGGAAATGACGCCACACCAACTTGATATGTAGTTCTGAAGGGTCACTTATTTAACTGCTGAATTGTTAGATAAGGGGAAGCATTATAATGATGTGCACAAGCATTTAACAGTATCATACTCTTTATTTAAGCATTCCCCATGCATTTACAGTCAGTTAAAAAAACCTAGACAAACAGTACATCAGTTAAAATTATACAAATAATAGTTTGAGCACCTGTAAATGCTCAACTTCACAGCCACATGCTCCAAGATTTATCTGAACGAAAATAAAGAAAAATCCATCCTTTTAATTCTGGTCCCTCTCAAATTGAATTATTTGTATCTGTTTAACAATATATAACACATTCACTGTTACATAGCCGTTTTCATTTTCACTATGTATTTTACTGATTATGAACCAGTCCATACTTTATATTTGTGATTTTTTTACCAGTAATTACATGTACAATTGTATAAAGTATTTGTTCCTATGATATTACTAAATAAGTAACTTAAAGATAAAAAAAAAACATGTTTTATGTCACTTGATATTGAGCACAGAGTGTAAGTGCATGCATGCATAATTATGTACTGTTGGTGATAATTGTACAAAAAGTAATGTTTCAGTTTTATTGTTTATTTTGTTTACTAGCTGTCTCTGTTCAACAAGTGTGTTGTATTGGTATATGATATGTAGATGGAAAGACAAATCGATGTTAAGTGTTAAGAATCAACAAAAAGAATTTTTGTAAGATCTGTATTAATAAAAACATAATGGAACTTTGATCAAAAATATGACAAATATGTTTAATGATGATGCTTTATGAGCAAATCTATGGTGATCTTAAACAAAAGCATTTAATACATGTTTATGAAATGATGAAATCTTTTCAAAATGTCCAGGATAATCTGCAATATTAGTACAATTTGATTTCTATCCAAGACAACACGAGTGATTAATATAAGTTTGATGTGTTTCATAATTGTTGAAAAATGAAATAAAGTTCTGTGAAAAGATAATTGATAAAGTAATAATAATTTTGCATATTCATGTACATGTGTATACATACCAGGTAATTGTCACAAGGCAAAAAGCTTTTGAACACCTCATAAATGTTCTGAACTTATTTGCCTGGTTGTAAAATGTATATAGAAGTATATCACTTAAAGTTTTGAACACTGACTTTGTTTAGTAAATAATGAAAGTAAACAATCTTTTTCAACTGATAGAACACCCTCACCTGCTATACAATATAATTCAGTGTTTAAAGTATCCAATACACCTAGAAACATTTATAAATGTGAATATAATTCATATTTAACTGCATTCTTGTTACAGTATCTTAAAGTGTTCAAGTTCATAGCAGCCATCTTTGATTAAAATCATATTTTCAAAAAGTCTTAAGGTGATTAGATTCTTATGATGCAGTTCACAACTAATCATGGAAAAACTGTAGATTGTATAATTTCATTTTCATTTTTAGAGGAAAAAGATAAACATTCTGACAAGGAATTTTGCATTTGCAAGTTATATAGTATACATAGTGCTTTGAATGACAGTTTGTATGTCAACACCAGGGGTATATATTTCCATATTTAAGCCTGTATGTGGAACAGTTAAAACTGGTGGTCAGTGAAGGTGCTTGAAACTGAGCTCTCAAATATATGCGATCATTTCTATCTTAAAAAGAGAGCATCCATTACGGTCGAAAACTGTAATAAATATATCAATATAATGAAACATATTTGAGAGTTCACCTTCAAGATGCCGCACCTGTCACTAACTTTGAAAAGGTCACCAAATTTTTCCATGTACAGACTAAATACACAACCTGGGGCTTTCACTCTTTGAAATTAATTAACACATTGTGCTTACTTTAGTATTGCTTATTGAACCTTTTGTAAAACAAGGAAGCCACGAACTACATTGTATGTGAGTTCATTTTAACATTCCATAGGTTTGATATTGGTTATTAAATAACAAATAGATGTACATGTTGTAGTGGGTTTTGAGCATGCATATTTGTATTTTTATCGAATTTAGGACTCTGGTGCTTGATGCTTGGTTCAAGTTCACCACTGATGAGTGGAATGTTACAAATATGAACTATTTAGCTGTGTGTTTGATGCTTGGTTCAAGTTCACCACTGATGAGTGGAATGTTACAAATATGAACTATTTAGCTGTGTGTTTGATGCTTGGTTCAAGTTCACCACTGATGAGTGGAATGTTACAAATATGAACTATTTAGCTGTGTGTTTGATGCTTGGTTCAAGTTCACCACTGGATAGTGGAATGTTTCAAATATGAACCATTAAGCTGTTTGTTTGATACTTGGTTCAAGTTCACTGATGAGTGGAATTATACAAATATGAACTGTTTAGCTGTGTGTTTGTTGAGACATGTCAGATTGATGTTTTTAGAACAAAATATTGCTTTGAAAGTCCTTATAAATGGAAACAATCTATTTATATTTTAGCTGACCTAACCCACCCACCAATAAAATGTTATAAATACTCTACCCTTTTAAAATAAATCAATTTCAGCAAACTAAACCAGGTGAGCTATATCACGGGGATTTGCCACAAATTCCTAACCCACAGTCCATACACATGTATTGTAGTCACTATATTAGATATGTATTGACCATGGGTCAAGAATTTGTGCCAAATCCCTGTGAGTGATACATGCCCTATAGGCCTCTTGTTTTCAGTAACGACTGGTTAACTATATATATAATCAAGCTTCAAGCGACTGCGACCAGAAGGTACACGTGAGTAGATTGAATCAGCTATGGAAATTTCTCCTATTGAACCGATTTACGGACAATCGGTAAGACTTATCATCGAGTATCAATCCATGTGTAGTCAGAATACTATGTATGGTATATCAACACTATTGATTGTTTATGTAGTATTAAAAAAAAATTAAAGAGCAATTCCTGATTTTTACAAACCAACTTAACAATACGTTATGTATTATATGTATATCAAAGCATTTCGATCGGGTCACAAAAGAGCTCATGCTAATTTTCTCAAGTGAAACATCTATACAAAAGAGAAGCGATTAAAATCAGGTTTGCTACACCCTTGTATTAACAGGTTTTTTTGTAAATTTAGTATCATCGCACATGTTTGCATGTATTGGAAATCCGTCCTGGATATTTTGTGATATTATTCAATAATTTTTAGGAACAGTTTTACTTGATTTGTGTTGGCACTATCTTGTCACTTCGGAATTTGTTTTCAACATTTTATGAATGGAGCAAATTAATCATAGCAATGCATACTTTCTGGTAATAATCACGAATGTTTCAGTCGCATATTAAAATATCAATGTAAACATACGTTGTTTGTTGTTTCTGTTACGGCTGTTCTAAAAATAATTTTATATCACTTACTGGACAGTACCTTTAAATAAAAAAATCGTGAGTTCAACCTTTTTAACTGAAGACTGGCTTGATTAAGGAATGCACAGATGTAGAAAGTGACATTTCCAAACATTTACAGTTTACAGTTCACATTTATGACTGTGACAGAAATATATAAATCCTGTTATGGAAAAGCTAAAATTTTTATCAACTAGAGAGTATATATATATATATACATTGTATGTTTTTGAAAACAATAAAATCAACATGACAAATGTATTCCGCTAACGTTTTCAGGCCAAACGGCCATCTTCAGGTGTTACATTTATTATAGATAATAATGGCATAGAATGGTCCGACCTATATCCTGGTTCAATACTAGTCTTTTCTACATTTCTTCAGGTGTTACATTTATTATAGATATTATTTAATAAAGATAATATGTACCATATTCCCAGGTATTTGAAATGCCGCCTGTATCACAATGGAAAAGGCAAGAATTAAATACAAAAATAACACCTTACTTACCCCCTGTCAAATCAAAATGCCAGGGTTGTTTTATATCTTGAATGTAATAAATTAAAATCACAAAAGCTTTTAAATATGTAGCAAATCTCACTCGGAAGTGTGTCAGAGTGACTCAATAGAACCTTGAAATTACATTCACTAAGTGGTCCAACATTCGGTATATTGTGTTCTATAACGACAAAAATGGATAGAAGTCTAGTATGGTATGTGTGTCTTGTAGTAAAGTATGCCAAAATGTCTAATATACAAACGCATCGACACATTTACATATATCTTATTTATTGCTGGAAATAATAAATATGATTTCATGCAAGATTCCCCACTTTCCGTATTGTTTTGCAAGATCGCTGAGAGCAGCCGACCATTGCTCCTAGTACTGAAAGAGTTATCTCCCTTCACTGCTTCAAGTACTTGAGGAGTTACTTTGATTCCCATCAATGAGCTTTTATGGACGGGATTAATTATATCGGCTTAGTTTTATTGAAATTCTCTTTAAGGTGATAACTAAATAATACATTTTGATGAACTTCTTATCAAAATACAATAACTAATATATTTTTTCTCAAAGATATGCAGATCTTTTTTGGTATTCCCATCAAGCACATACGTAAAACAAAATGTCAGATCTCTTTAAAGTGGATGTACCTTTGAGATTGAATACATTCAGACCACATATTGCTATCAGCAATTATATACATCATCAATCTGCTGAATGTTAAACATAATAATGATTGACTCGCAACTCTTGGCGTTCCCTTACTATACACAATATTTGTGATGGAATTAGGCAGACCAAAGAGTAGTATCACATGAACGTTTGACTTTGTAGTACAAATGCATTAGTGATACTAAGTTTAAATTTCACAGAGACACCAATGTCTATATTTCCATTGAAACTTTTTTCGGTGCAACAAACAGGAGGTATATGTAAAGGGTTCGATGGCTTGAGAGATCATTGTATCCAATATGTGAACATGCCAATATTTTGAAGTCTCTTCTTCTCAAGAGTAATATAAACACCGCGCGATGCCTTTCGTAAACATGAGAAAGGCTGCGACCCAATCGGGAAGCTCCAAGAGTTTCTCGGTTCGGGTAACTACTATGGATGCTGAACTGGAATTTTCAAATATTGAGGTAACTCTCATCATAGTCATAGCACCTGATCAAATGGTTTCATAAAAACTGGATGGCACACTTTTATGATACTTTGTCAGGCTATTAGAATGGTGGTGGTCATATGTGTCGGTAAGAATATATAGATATCAGATAACGATTCATATAAAATAAGCGACGACGTCATTACCGTTATAGAAAGGATCCAGAATCGGTCAGTGAGGTCTGTACATGGTATATGTAGTTTTAAATAATCTCTCTCTCTCTCTCGCTCAGCTGACGGAGCTTGCTGAATTATCACACCAGAGGCCAGGGTTCGATTCTCAGCAGAAATGTGTTTTGCTCTTTGTCTTTATACATCATACTAGAAATGAAATGTTTGAATGCTGTATCCATATCAATTAAAATTGTCTATATATATTTTATTTCAATCACTATGTCATGATTTACATTTTATACATGTAATTAATTAGTTTGAAGGGCTCCAACCAATAATCTTTGATTTTATTGCTGTCTTAGATGCGGACAGTAGTCAGAATTCCTCCCTATATATTTTAAATTTATTTTCCATCATGTTTACAATGGCCTCCATCATGTGGAATTTCTCTTAGAATTGTGTCTGTAAACTTACCAGAAAGTAGACTCGGTAAATTGACTTAAATACTAGGTTGATTACAAACACAAGCCTGGAGAAATTCTGAATAGTGATGGCCATTGTAAATATGGAACAACGCAAAATAGTATCTTTTTTCCTAATTTAGACCTCAAGTTTTCCCAATTCTAAGGAAAACGTTGCTTTTTTCCCCAATTCTAAGGGCCCTGAGCCCCAGTCCCAAAATGGGGTGCGAGAGCCCTGTGGAAAGTGAAGTTGTTGGGGAAATGAGAGGAAATATTTGGAACAGTAATTATTGTATTACACTTTATATGCGTGGTAGGGTTATCATCTGTGGCAAATTAGAGTGATGTATTTTAATTAACTGAATGAAGTCTAAAGTCACCTTTAACATGAGGTTGTAGTAAACTTGTCGGACTGTTTGTCAGAAGGTAACTTTTTAATCTTTTCATTTTCTTAGCACAAAGCGACGGGGAAAGATTTGTTTGAGCTGGTATGTCGTACCATAGGATTGAGAGAGACTTGGTATTTTGGATTGCAGTTTATTGATTCAAAGGGATACATTTCCTGGCTTAAATTTGATAAAAAGGTAAGCCCTTCCGCATATCGTTGTAACATTAGCTCTGTCTGTTATATATCTTTGTAGTGGTATATGTACCTCTATGTTGCAGGACTTTCAGTTGTTAATCATTTTTTCATGTTTTGGTTACCTATTGATATTTTGATTTGATAGATAATAAAAGACAGGTATTATGATTTCTGTTGAGTGTATTTTGTATTCATGAACTAATTTACATATTTACATATTACATATTTTACCATATTATCTGATGCATAAATATCAAGAGACGAAAAGAGTTATTAAGCTGTTGTTAAAGAAATTTACAAATATTGAAAAAAGATATGTATACCAGATTTAGAAATAGCTATATATTATGGAAACCCCTCACTCCACAAAAAAAAAAAAAAAAATCATATGAAATACAGGGTTTTCCATAATTTTGTTAGTAGTAGGCTGTGTAGTGAAAGTAGGAGGCTAGCCTGCCATGTACGTGTAGTCGTGTACGGAAGATTATTATGGAACTGGATTGGTGTAGGCGGCCAAATGATCAAAGTAGCCGGTCAAATTGGCTGGTGACCGGCTCTTATGGAAAACCCTGAAATAGATCTGTTGCTCATTTGTAAATTATAAGCTTTCATTGCTGAACAATAGAATTATGATTTAAGTGCTCTAGCCTCTAAAAACAATAGGTGACTTTGCATGAAAATCTCTCTCTCTCTTTTTTAATTTTTTTTGTTAACCTATGTAATACATTGTATGTTGTAGGTTTTGGATCAAGATGTCCCTAAGGAAACACCTGTGCCTTTCTTGTTCCTGGCCAAATTTTTCCCAGAGGATGTGTCTGAGGAGTTGATCCAAGAGATAACACAGCATCTTTTCTTTCTGCAAGTGAAGCAGTCGATCATTAATATGGATATATACTGCCCACCAGAAGCCTCTGTTCTTTTAGCGTCTTACGCCGTTCAGGCAAAGGTTTGTGCAAGGGAGACAACTTTACTGATATCAGTGGCATGTTATTGGTACATTTTAGCTGTACATGTATAGAATTTTTTTTTTCAAAACACACAAATGATTTTAAGTTGTGTCAACTGAGATTTTGACTATTTATGGAAGGAATAAAACATGCCTTCATATATTTACTTCTAGCTTCAAAGTGTAACTCTATGTTCTCTATTTTCTTTAATATATCAGAAGTAGAGCCAACTTTTCTGTTTCTATATAGGCAGTGAATCAATGAGTTCTACACCTTTCACTTGGATACCTGAGGGTATACAGTTGATTAATTAGGAGGAGTGAGAGGTAGGATTAATTTCAACAGGCTAGAGGTGGGTTCTTCAATCTTTTATTAGGTAGTATGTCTATTGGTTTTGCCCTTTTTGTCGGGCTTCTTCAGGACCTCTGACCTCGTACTGAAGAAGTCCAACATAAAGGGCGAAACCAAAAGTATTGAAGAACCCGCCTCTAGCCTGTTGAGATTGATCCTTCCTGATTTATTTTCTGTTTATTGTGATGGAACTGTTACCAGTGATTAATGTCTTAATAGAGGAAAACAACTCGTGTGACACCTTCTGGTGCTCTTTGTTCTTGTGAATCCTACAACAAACAAAAGGCAGTATTTACACATCAAACACACCTGGTTGTTCAAGGGCTCTAATTCCTTATAAAATACATGACAATACAACGAAGATACTTTTACCTGATCCTAAAAAAATGCAGATACAAAAATAGGGACCCATCACATTAAAGCCACATACATTTTGAATGACAATGTTACAATATACAGATTAACTCAAAGTTTTATTTAGCTTAAAGTGATGAAAAACTGCATGATATTTTAATTCTAACAATGGTTACTGTAAATCTATTTTGTTATCAATGTGAACTGGTGTATACTTATATTTTGCTTTTAATATTCAATTAAGGTTTGTTTTTCACAACAGGACTTGGAATCTGTTGGTCAGTGATATTCACTGGAACCATATTTGTTAGCTTATTGGACTTGTGTGTATTCACCTTCAATGCATAACATGTTGATATCACTGCTATAAGTAATAAGGTGCTATTTTCAGACAAACTGATTTCATTTTGAATTTTGGGTTTTGTTAGATTTCTGTTTATTTAAATAAAAGTTCAGACATACCACCTATATGTTAAACATTCAATCTACTGGTTATTTTACAACTTAGTTTCTACTCATAATCAGGGTTTGTCATTTTAAAGTATGGGAGTCAAGATATAATATCTTATTAAATCACGGTATTGGGATCAATGTATAACATCTTGTTATATCACACACTTTGGGAGAGAGGTGGGGGAGATCAAAGTTCATCATCTTGTTATATCACAGTATGGGGTCAAGGTTCATAATCTGGGTACATTTAAGTATGGTGTCAAGGTTCAGTGCTTTGAAATATCACAGTATTGGAGTAAATTCTCATCAATTTATTTTACAGTATGGGGATTATGATACATCAACTTACAAAATCGGGACACTGGCCAGTGAGGATTTGCTGCCCCAGCGTGTTATTGACCAGTACCAGATGACCCCTCAGATGTGGGAAGAGAGAATTAAGGAGTGGTATGCTGACCACAGAGGGATGTCTAGGTGAGATAGATGTCATTAAGAATGATAAATCACTCATTTTTTCTGATACTGGATATTAAAAAGTTCAAATTTTTTATGTGAAAATTTGTTGTTTTAAATTTTAGATGTTGGAGTAGCCCTTTTTTTTCTAGAACTGAAGTTTTTATTTCATTTTAGAGATGAAGCTGAAATGGAATACCTGAAAATTGCTCAAGATCTTGAAATGTATGGTGTAAATTATTTTCAAATTGAGGTGAGAATCTAAGTATAAAATTGCTCAAAAACTTGAATAACCATACATGACTTGATTTATTCTTCAAAATTCTAGGTATCAAATGATACCTAAAGGACGAGTATCTGTATGAAAAAGTTACATTTCAATTACAAATTATGAAGTTACCAGTACATCATTTTGAAATGTCTGAACACTATTGGTGACCAATTTGACATATGACCTTTGATTCATACACGGTAGGTGATAATTTGAAAGTTAGTGAAAGATCATATCAATTCAGTTTAATTTTACAAAATATTATTTATCACAAGACCCTGAGAAAACTTTTTAAAACTTTTTTGGACCATGTGTCACCATGAAATTGGTAAGATAATCTTACTAAATACATTGTATATTGTTAGACAAAGTCATTATATGTGAAATACATTGTATATTGTTAGACAAAGTCATTATATGTGAAATACATTGTATATTGTTAGACAAAGTCATTATATGTGAAATACATTGTATATTGTTAGACAAAGTCATTATATGTGAAATACATTGTATATTGTTAGACAAAGGCATTATATGTGAAATACATTGTATATTGTTAGACAAAGTCATTATCTGTGAAATACATTGTATATTGTTAGACAAAGTCATATTGTTAGACAAAGTCATTATATGTGAAATACATTGTATATTGTTAGTCATTATATGTAATAATATGTATCATTTTATTTTAGAACAAGAAGAATACAGATCTGTGGTTAGGAGTAGATGCCCTAGGTCTGAATGTGTACGAGTCCAACAATAAACTGTCTCCAAAGATCACGTTTCCCTGGAACGAGATCAAGAATATTTCTTTTAAAGACAAAAGAGTAAGAAGACTGAGTATCATTTACTCATGCATGAAATGTTTTTTTTACAATTTTCCATTCTTTGATTTAATTTAATGGCACACAGTGGCAGTGAGTTTGTTGCTCAGTATTTTGTCATTTGTGAATTTTTCATGGAAGATTTCTTATCACAAGATTGATAGTAAAGGGAGAATTTGTCACATTAGTTTGATGGTGACAGGAGAATTTGTCACATTAGTTTGATGGTGACTGGAGAATTTGTCACATTAGTTTGATGGTGACAGGAGAATTTGTCACATTAGTTTGATGGTGACTGGAGAATTTGTCACATTGGTTTGATGGTGACAGGAGAATGTGTCACATTAGTTTGATGGTGACAGGAGAATTTGTCACATTAGTTTGATGGTGACTGGAGAATTTGTCACATTAGTTTGATGGTGACTGGAGAATTTGTCACATTGGTTTAATGGTGACAGGAGAATTTGTCACATAAGTTTGATGGTGACAGGAGAATTTGTCATTAGTTTGATGGTGACTGGATTTTATACTCACACCTTATGCACTAACATCTTTTATCAAAGAATTTTGTATTGAAGACATTTTTTATTTCTGTTATAGTTTGTGATAAAGCCTGTTGAGAAGAAATCCCCAGATTTTGTGTTCAAACCACCTAAACTACGAATTAATAAGTTGGTAAGGATGTGTTCGACATGAGATATTACCCCGTTATACGAGTATACCAAATTAATTATATGAACAACATGCAATTTAGAATGTAAACAACTGAAGTTATCAGTGATTTGTTTATCATTATATAATTCTGATGTCTTAAATTGATTGCTGGTAAGGGGTTCAGACCAGTTTCTTTGAACTATTTAGTCTAAATTTCATATCATACCAGGTATCTCTGACTATGTCTTCACATAAGACATATCTGTGACTATATGTCTTTACATAATACGTATCTGTGACTATATGTCTTTACATAATACGTATCTGTGACTATATGACTTTACATAATACATATCTGTGACTATATGTCTTTACATAATACATATCTGTGACTATATGTCTTTACATAATACATATCTGTGACTATATGTCTTTACATAATACGTATCTGCGACTATATGTCTTTACATAATACGTATCTGCGACTATATGTCTTAACATAATACATATCTGCGACTATATGTCTTTACATAATACATATCTGTGACTATATGTCTTTATATAATACATATCTGTGACTATATGTCTTTACATAATACGTATCTGTGACTATATGTCTTTACATAATACATATCTGTGACTATATGTCTTTACATAATACATATCTGTGACTATATGTCTTTACATAATACGTATCTGTGACTATATGTCTTTACATAATACGTATCTGTGACTATATGTCTTTACATAATACATGTCTGTGACTATATGTCTTTACATAATACATATCTGTGACTATATGTCTTTACATAATGCATATCTGTGACTCTATGTCTTCACATAATGCATATCTGTGACTATATGTCTTTACATAATACATATCTGTGACTTTATGTCTTTACATAATACATATCTATGACTATATGTCTTTACATATATCTTAGAGCAGCTATTGGTGTATTATGATTTTCAGTGTTTTATGTTTGTGATAGAAGAAAACTAGCTATTTTTGCTACTGAGCAAGAATAAAAAACTTATACCTGATAAACTTGAATAGATATACTTTGTAGTATACAATGTAGCATCAGTAGATCTTTTAACTTGGTATTAAAGTCTAGACTGTTACTTAGAAGTTGAGTTAAAGTTTTCACTTAACATAAGACTAGTCTTAACTAGGTCATATACTGTAACACTTAAACAGCTGGATGCTTGATTTCCTTCAATAGATATTAGAGCTCTGTATAGGAAACCATGAATTATTTACAAGACGACGAAAACCTGATTCCATGGAAATTCAACAGATGAAAACTAATGCTAGGGAGGAAAAAATACGCAAACAGGTAATTATATAAGTAATGACAAGTCTGAACATAAAACATCTTATTGGCTGTTTGTCTCCCAGGAAACATCTTATTGGCTGTTTGTCTCCCAGGAAACATCTTATTGGCTGTTTGTCTCTCAGGAATTTTTTCTTAAATTCAATACAAAGTATTTTATTGATGATATAGTTTACATACTTATAATTTGAAATAAACAATGCATTACAAATAAAAACAGCATGTTGACAGATAAGACCACAGACAATGTCTATATCAGTTTTTTTGGATATGTTTTTGTTTCTGTAGATGTATTACCTATCAAATAAACACTGTGTTATTTACTTGATATTCTTGTGCTAATGATCAGGGGTTATGTGAAACATCTGGTATATGTTTAACTGAGAGTGATATGTCATCTGTGTGTTCCACATACATATGTATGTTTATCTATTTATAATCATGCTTAGGTAGTCACTAACGTAACAGTTAGAAATCACAGCCAGATAAGGTTAGACCTGCTGTTGTCAATGATGAGATATACAAATGTCATCTAAAATTGTCCTATACACGTAAATGTAATAAACGTTGTTAGAAGTCAGAGAGAATATTTCTGTAATCTAGCTGGATAGGGCCAGATTAGCAAAGGAAAAACAGCTCAAGGAGGAGGCCCTCAAGGAGAAAGAGGAACTTGAGAAACGACTTCAAATGTTACAAGAGGAAGTCCGAGCTGCACAGGAATCATTGGTATGTTTCATCTGTTTGGCTGATTATGTCCAATGCTACTGAAATATGTGTTCTGATTGGCTGATTACATCCCATGCTGCTGAAACATGTGTTCTGATTGGCTGATTACATCCCATGCTGCTGAAACATGTGTTCTGATTGGCTGATTATATATCCCATGCTGCAGAAACATCTGTTCTGATTAGCTGATAAAAATTGTTGTTGCTAAATCAAATGTTCTGATTGCCGGACAAGAAATAGGAATTTTGAATTTATTATTTAGTAAAATATGATTGTCTCAAAAAGTATTTGATCAAAGGTATGATTGTTTTTCATAGTTGTAATGTGTTGGCATTTGTATGTGGAATCTGTTGAAAACAAAGAAGATAACTGGTTGTTCATATTAACATTATTTATACATGATTGTAGCGACGGTCAGAGGAAACAACAGAGTTGTTAGCGGAGAAGGCTCAGATAGCTGAAGAGGAGGCGGTTCTGCTGGCCCAGAAAGCCTCGGAGACAGAAGGCGAGATTCATAGGATGAAACTCAAGGAGATGAAAGTATGGGTCATCAATCAGAAATTTGGTATTTCTGGAATTGTTTGGGGGTTTCCAGGATTGTCGTTTCTAGAACCGTTAAAAGTTTCTACAACTGTTATAGGTGTTTGAGGAACTGCTTGGGGAATTTCTAGAATTGTTGTGAGGGTTTCTAGATCTGTTGTGGGGTTTCAAGAAGTGTAGTGTGATTTCTAGAACTGTTGTGAGATTTCTGGATCTGTTTTGAGGTTTCTAGAACTGTTTATAAGAGTTTCAAGAACAGTTGGGGGTTTCTAGAACAGCTGTTTTCGAGGTTCCTAGAACTACAGTGTATTGATGAACAAAAAGCAATTCTTGAATATCTCTGTTGCTCTTGAAGACTTTTTACATTCTCATATCTGATTTATATAATTTTGGCAATCTTTATCTTAATTTCAATTTTTAATAGACCTTTAAGTAATACATACATTTTAAAAAGGTAACTGTTAAGGATAACTTGTTTTGTGAAAACCAGAATGAAGAGGAACGTATGATAATGGAGTACCGTGCTCGAGAGGCAGAGATGATCGCCACGAAGATTCTGGAAGACTCAGAAAGGAGGTGAATTAATTACACACCATCACTACTCCTTGTCAGTTTCTGAATAAAGTAAAGAATTAAAACATCTTTGTGTGTCTCTGTTACTGTCATTTCTTGATTTTATTTCTTATGTTTCGTTATAGAGCTCTTGAAGCAGAACAGCTGAAGATTGACCTAGTTCAGGCCAAGATGAATGAGCAATCAGCCAAGGAAAAGTTGATGGAAGTAGCCAGGGTATCTCCATATACGGTAGGTAGATTAAAATGGTAACTTTGTACACTTCAGGTTAATAAAGCAAGAGAAATTTCAAATGATTCTGTTTGAATAAATTTTTTAAAGCCCCTAGTTACTAGAATTAAGCTAGAAGTATGCAAAACACTTGTGTTTGTATAGATTTGGACAGTTGTTTATGTTTAATTTCAGCATGGGTTGGCAAATCCCTGGCGACTTCAGGATGGGGCACCAAAATGGGAAATTAGACAATGTTTTGCTTTAAAATGCTACTCTTTCTTACTACCGATGAAGGGAAGGTGTGAACGTTTCAAGTACTGTAGTACTGAACAAAGTATTGATAGTATTGTATTGAAGTACTTCACCAATCGAATTCCTTAAATTTATGCAACAAGCTCTCTGATTGGCAGAGCCAAGTCTAGATCGATTGTGGGTGGAGCCAGGTGAAAAAATACTGTGCAGACATCGGCATTTTACAAACACTCGACTGTCGCGAGAGGTTAATTGGAAGAGTCCAAGTCACAGGTGGCTTCATATTCAGAAATTGGGTTGTCCCATTTGTTTCGTTCTACACCCAATGATACTTTGCTTTTCCATCGATGGTACAATGATATCAAACATGAAAGTTACTCAGTACTAAACTAATTTACGTACAAAATATATATCAACAGGTTAAAACAAATAGCCTGAACTTCTCAGAATTTCATAACATCTTAACAGTGAATGTAGTCACATAGTCATTCTGTACTAGATTTGTTATTATTTTTCAGTCTGATCAAAACTTCAACATGGTAACCATGGTAGTCAATTTGTCAAGTGATGTTGCAACAGAACCTACCATTTATGAGTTTCTGATACTTACAAGGAATGTTCAGAATTTGAATTCACCTGATTTGTCAGGCCACCATCAGCATATTCTGTGATTTGTCCATCCTTTTGTCGATTGTCAGATGATGGTTAAGGGACATGGCTGTCCTGTTTGTTTATGTTTAGTGTTCACAAAACATGTTTGTGTATATATTAATATGTTTTGTGTCCTAGTGACTTTTTTTATATGTAATGAATTGTTTTTGTTTCCAGCAACAGGCTATGTATGGACTGCACAGTTTACCATCAGATCTAGCAGAACTACAGCTAGAAGAGCCAACCATGGACGATTTACAGGAGACAGTCCCGGAGGCGAGCTGTGACCTGTTGGGAGCAGGGGACATGGACCAGTTGTCTATAGAGATCGAGAAGGAAAGGTAGGAATTTAGCTCAGTGGATATACTGAAAGAAGGTGAAAGTTCACCAAAGTAGATCTAGAAAGAAAGGTAAGAAGTTAGCTCAGTGGATATACTGAAAGAAGGTGAGAATTTACCAAAGTAGATCTAGAAAGAAAGGTGAGAATTTACAACAGAGGAGAAAGAGAAAGGAAGGTGAGAATTTAGCTCAGTGGATATACTGAAAGAAGGTAAGAATTTAGCTCAGTGGATATACTGAAAAAAGGTGAGAATTTACCAAAGTAGATCTAGAAAGAAAGGTGAGAATTTACAACAAAGGAGAAAGAAAGTAGAGAAATTTACATCAGTAGAGATATAGAAAGGAAGGTGAGAAATTACATCAGTAGAGATAGAGAAAGGAAGGTGAGAATTTACATCAGTAGAGATAGAGAAAGGAAGGTGAGAATTCACATCAGTAGAGATAGAGAAATGAAGGTGAGAATTCACATCAGTAGAGATAGAGAAAGGAAGGTGAGAAATTACATCAGTAGATAGAGAAAGGAAGGTGAGAATTTACATCAGTAGAGATAGAGTAATGAAGGTGAGAAATTACATCAGTAGAGATAGAGAAAGGAAGGTGAGAATTTACATCAGTAGAGGTAGAGAAAGGAAGGTGAGAATTTACATCAGTAGAGATAGAGAAAGGAAGGTGAGAATTTACATCAGTAGATAGAGAAAGGAAGGTGAGAATTTACATCAGTACATGTTGAAGATCCCTAAATCTTAGTCTGCCTGTCAAATAATCGATTATATCTTGTGCTTGTTTCTTGAGTGACATGTTGGCCTTCAGCTTGCTGGACAACACGAGACTGAGTTTGTTTGTATTTATAGGGAGGAATACATGGAGAAATCCAAACACCTCCAGGAACAACTGAAGGAATTAAAAACGGAGATAGAAGTACTAAAAGTGGAGGAGAATGAGACGGAATTGGACAGACAGCATGATGAGAAGATTCGTCGTGGGGATACAAAGTACTCCACCCTAAGAATGGTAAGGAATATGGTTACTTTTTTAGGTACATATTATAGACATAATAGTGGAACTAATATATATTTATACACTCCTGTTCACTTACTAGTCTAAAAAGAAGTTACAAGTTGAATGAGGATACAAAACACTGCTACCTGCACAACCTTTAAAATCAATAATTCAACTGAAGAAAAAAACCAAAACTTTTCTTTATAAATATTCTCATCAAGAAAGTGTGTTATGAGTACTAATAGAGTAAGGGAGAGTGAGATGACAAAACCAAAAGTGATAAGGGCAGCTCTCCAGGTGTAAAGGAATAGATACTAATGTTGAATACAAAACTATACAAAAAGTGTTTCTATTTAATTTTTGCTTGTTTTTGTTTTAGGCTAAAGCCACGACCACACAGGCTAGAGTCCAGTTCTTTGAGGATTTGTGAGAGACATATTGAAGCATTTCTGTGATAGAGACTTCGGTGAACAATGCACATATTAGGAAAAATTCTGAAGATGAACAAAAAAACAACAAGAGAAACAGGACAGCTCCGTGTTATTGTTCTAGAGCTGGTTTTTGTCTCTCTGTGTTTTTACTGGATGCGTTTTGTGAATGATTTTCAATCCTTTGTGAAAAAAGTGATAATACACATGACTTTTAAATGTACTGATTTAATCTTGAACAGATTTGAAAAAGGTTTTATCATGGTAATGTTTTAATCCTCCATCCTGTTAGGACAGGAAAAATGAATCAAGTTTGGAGACATAAGAATCTTTTTCTGATGGTTCAGGTCTAACATCTTGTTGAGGGAATAATACCTTTTCTCTTACACTGCTGCTCATTTCCTAATTACAATGTTGACACTGTGCTGGTGCTTTGTAGCTGTAACATTTAAGCTTAATAAATTGGGACGTCAGAGTTTTCTGTTAGGTCATACTGACATCAGAGAGCTTTCTGTTAGGTCATACTGACTTCAGAGCTATCTGTTAGGTCATACTGCCATCAGAGAGCTTTCTGTTAGGTCATACTGCCATCAGAGAGCTTTCTGTTAGGTCATACTGACATCAGAGAGCTTTCTGTTATCAGAGAGCTTTCTGTTAGGTCATACTGACATCAGAGAGCTTTCTGTTAGGTCATACTGACATCAGAGAGCTTTCTGTTAGGTCATACTGACATCAGAGAGCTTTCTGTTAGGTCATACTGACATCAGAGCTTTCTGTTAGGTCATACTGATATCAGAGAGCTTTCTGTTAGGTCATACTGCCATCAGAGAGCTTTCTGTTAGGTCATACTGCCATCAGAGAGCTTTCTGTTAGGTCATACTGACTTCAGAGCTATCTGTTAGGTCATACTGACTTCAGAGCTATCTGTTAGGTCATACTGACTTCAGAGCTATCTGTTAGGTCATACTGCCATCAGAGAGCTTTCTGTTAGGTCATACTGACTTCAGAGCTATCTGTTAGGTCATACTGACTTCAGAGCTATCTGTTAGGTCATACTGCCATCAGAGAGCTTTCTGTTAGGTCATACTGACTTCAGAGCTTTCTGTTAGGTCATACTGCCATCAGAGAGCTTTCTGTTAGGTCATACTGACTTCAGAGCTTTCTGTTAGGTCATACTGACTTCAGAGCTTTCTGTTAGGTCATACTGCCATCAGAGAGCTTTCTGTTAGGTCATACTGACTTCAGAGCTTTCTGTTAGGTCATACTGACTTCAGAGCTATCTGTTAGGTCATACTGACTTCAGAGCTATCTGTTAGGTCATACTGACTTCAGAGCTATCTGTTAGGTCATACTGCCATCAGAGAGCTTTCTGTTAGGTCATACTGACTTCAGAGCTATCTGTTAGGTCATACTGACTTCAGAGCTATCTGTTAGGTCATACTGCCATCAGAGAGCTTTCTGTTAGGTCATACTGCTTTCTGTTAGGTCATACTGACGTCAGAGCTTTCTGTTAGGTCATACTGCCATCTGAGAGCTTTCTGTTAGGTCATACTGCCATCAGAGAGCTTTCTGTTAGGTCATACTGACATCAGAGCTTTCTGTTAGGTCATACTGACATCAGAGCTTTCTGTTAGGTCATACTGACATCAGAGCTTTCTGTTAGGTCATACTGACATCAGAGAGCTTTCTGTTAGGTCATACTGACATCAGAGCTTTCTGTTAGGTCATACTGACTTCAGAGAGCTTTCTGTTAGGTCATACTGACATCAGAGCTTTCTGTTAGGTCATACTGACATTAATGCTGCCTGTGATGTCATATGATTGTTTTGACGAGATGATAAATTTACCTCAGACCTAGGTAAGTCAAGTAAGTACACCAGTAAAGGTGGGGCTCTATCTGACCAGGGTAAGAACCAAGGATACTTCTACGTCACATCAACTTAACTATCTAAACTTGATCTGGGAATGAGACAAGGATTAGTACACACCTGAGACACTGAGGATACAGCCATCCTGTATAAATCTATCATTAATCTTACACCTGGGTATCATGTAGCAGTTATACCTCCAGGGCAAGATTTTTAAAGTTTAGCACAAGGATGGAAAGAGTTAGATTTCAAGAGCTCTCAGTACATGGTGCCATCAGAAATGGTAAATAAGTTGTGTAGTGGAACTGATTAGATGTTCCCCCGATTGTGACATTGTAAATGTCATCTAAGTTTTTAAATGAAGATCTCTGAGTTCAACATTGTATGATAGAGTCATCCAACATTCATGTGCCACATGGGATACATGTATCCTACATAGGTAGATTTGGGAGGATGCACCTGTGTAGGTATTAAGAACTGTTGTGTGGAGAGTTAATCCATTTATTGATCAAGCCCTTCATTAAGTCATAATTATCACTTTGACCAACATGACACACTATTTGTATTAAATGTTGTATCTGTTCCTATAAATTGAATGGCTACCTATAAAATGATATAAATTATGCATTTCTTGCAGGATAATCTATATATTTTTACTTAATATATCAATTAATTCATAGATTCCATAACAAATATATGAAGGCATTATGAGAATAATCAAATAATTCAATATGTAACAGATGATTTAATACTTGTTAATATAACCAGTGGAAACTCTGATATCATCAGAGGAGACTTTATCAGAGGAGACTCTGTCTGATATCATCAGAGGAGACTCTGTCTGATATCATCAGAGGAGACTTTATCAGAGGAGACTCTGTCTGATATCATCAGAGGAGACTTTATCAGAGGGGTCTCTGATATCATCAGAGGAGACTTTATCAGAGGAGACTCTGTCTGATATCATCAGAGGAGACTCTGTCTGATATCATCAGAGGAGACTTTATCAGAGGAGACTCTGTCTGATATCATCAGAGGAGACTTTATCAGAGGAGACTCTGTCAGAGGAGACTCTGTCTGATATCATCAGAGGAGACTTGTCTGATATCATCAGAGGAGACTTTATCAGAGAGACTCTGTCTGATATCATCAGAGGAGACTATATCAGAGGAGACTCTGTCAGATATCATCAGAGGAGACTTTATCATCAGAGGAGACTTTGTCTGATATCATCAGAGGAGACTTTATATCATCAGAGGAGACTTTATCTGTCTGATATCATCAGAGGAGACTTTATCAGAGGAGACTCTGTCTGATATCATCAGAGGAGACTTTATCAGAGGAGACTCTGTCTGATATCATCAGAGGAGACTTTATCAGAGGAGACTCTGTCTGATATCATCAGAGGAGACTTTATCAGAGGAGACTCTGTCTGATATCATCAGAGGAGACTTTATCAGAGGAGACTTTATCAGAGGGGTCTCTGATATCATCAGAGGAGACTTTATCAGAGGAGACTCTGTCTGATATCATCAGAGGAGACTTTATCAGAGGAGACTCTGTCTGATATCATCAGAGGAGACTCTGTCTGATATCATCAGAGGAGACTTTATCAGAGGGGTCTCTGATATCATCAGAGGAGACTTTATCAGAGGAGACTCTGTCTGATATCATCAGAGGAGACTTTATCAGAGGAGACTCGGTCTGATATCATCAGAGGAGACTTTATCAGAGGAGACTCTGTCTGATATCATCATATCATCAGAGGAGACTTTATCAGAGGAGACTCTGTCTGATATCATCAGAGGAGACTTTATCAGAGGAGACTCTGTCTGATATCATCAGAGGAGACTTTATCAGAGGAGACTCTGTCTGATATCATCAGAGGAGACTTTATCAGAGGAGACTCTGTCTGATATCATCAGAGGAGACTTTATCAGAGGAGACTCTGTCTGATATCATCAGAGGAGACTCTGTCTGATATCATCAGAGGAGACTCTGTCTGATATTATCAGGGGAGACTCTGTCTGATATTATCAGGGGAGACTCTGTCTAATATCATCAGAAGAGACTCTGTCTAATATTATCAGCGGAAACTCTGTCTGATATTATCAGGGGAGACTCTGTCTATCCCCATATTACTCTATGTATTGAAATTGATGTTTCACCATACACCTTTAAAGATATTGACAAATTTTTCTCACCTTATTATGTATAAAGTTGTGGGAAATTATGCTGTGTATTGTTTTAATCATGATATATGCAGTAGATCTTTTTTTTCACATCCAAATTAATCCCAGAGCATGCTACCTTATCTGTTACTTTTCAGTTTTGTAGCATTACCAGTGGGATAACTTTAATATTGGTTTTTTTAGAAATTTCTCTAGTAACATCAATCCGGGACAAGTAGCCAGCTCTCCTCATTTCATCAGGTCATTTTGATGCTGGTCATAGTGGCCGGCTCTAAACCTGACACATGGCAAATTCATCTGATGTTGTGATCATTTGATCAGAATCTTGAAATTCAAAATCAATTTTTGGAAGCTGAAATGATCAACTTGATTTTTCAATATTTTGAAAAGTCACCTTACAAAATTGATGATAAGCCTCCAAGATTGATCCTTTGAAACAGACTTTCACTTTTAACTGAAAGGCTATGACCAGATATTCGGTCACCCTAGGTTGGTAACGCTGTGAGGATAGTTTGTATTTAAAAGGAAAAATTGGAATATTTTTAATTGTTTTGAAGTGAGTTAATACTTTTGTCTTTAGTTCACAATTAACTGACTATAGCTTAAGTATTACCGATATTTTCTATTTTAGAATTTTTAAGTCTCTATGAAATTGATTTGTATTTGATGAAGCTTTCTGAATTTTGATAAATCACTTAATCTGCAGTTTTTAATTAGTGGAAATTTTGCTTGATTTATTTATTGTAATATACTTCATCATGTATTTTCCATCCCACCACCTTACCAGATATTGTGTTCAAAATGATGTAATCATGTATACTACTGTTACCACGGGATGGTATATGCCTTGATGCTGCTGTAGATTCTATGATGCAATAGTTACCATATTTACATTCATGTGTAAGTTTATTTCATGTATTCAAAGACCAGGATTTCCAGAACACATTTAATTCATGTCGGCAATTTTTATGGCAGAATCATGACTTTGAAAGGAAAGCAGATTATGTCCCTTGAGGTTTGTTATTTTGTAGCAGTTGATGACAGCCTTCTTTGTAACTTACCACAAGCAATGTTCTGTATGTAGAGAACAAAATTGTCAAGATTAACAATTGTAATTAGTAATAGTTTTTAGAAAAATAGATGTAAATTAGATTACAA